CCCCAAAACCCCAAAACCCCAAAACCCCAAAACCCCAAATGTATAATATATTTTTGAAAACTATGGGAAATAAGACCGTTGGGAAGAAGCATAACCGCCAGTCCACTTTAGCAAACCTTCAAAATATTGACTTAGATCATTTACCAAAGTATGTAGACGATCCTGTAGAATTCTTCAATTCAAGAATGGAGTTCAGGGAATCTTTAGAAACTTGGGGGTATTTTTGGGCCCATAAGTTGATCGAAGATGCTTTTATTAGACCGAATTTTGATATTTCACTTCTAAATAAAATATCAACAGTTAATAATGATCTTGATCTCTCTTTTGGTGACTTCTCAGAAGCTGAAGAAACCAAAGATTATAGTGGTAAAGAGGTATGTCTTACTGCTCAAGTTAGTCAACTCAAGAAAGATTTGGAGAAGAAAGGTTCTTCTTTCATTAAAAATACACTTGGAACAGCCATGATGGTTACGAGAAAACTAACATTGCATGTGCACGTAATTGGTATAGCAGTAACTTTATTGGAAGTAATGCTTGAATTTGAAAGTGAAGACAAAGTCGATGAAGAGATCGACACTAGAATAGATAAAGCTAAAGGAGATCTTGATAAAAACATTCTCAAATCTAACCTTACTGACCTCAAAGCTAAATTTTTAGCAGTCAAAAACACATTCGAATTGGTTGTAAATGGTTCTGACAATTTTGATATTAGAAGAGCCAGACTTGATTCTGTCCTCGGTGTTTGTGAAGAAATTTCTTTAATGATTAGAGATACTGAATCTGATATTTATAAGTCAGCACATCAATGTCTAGATATAGTCTTCTTATTCTGAATCATGCATCTAAGTATGCTTGATATGTCAATTTCAACATTTAAGATGAAGGATTATTGTGAAGATTATTCAAGAAATAAGCAGTATTATGATCTATTAATGCAATCATATGTAGAGCAAGCACTAGCTAATTACATCCATCCAGTAGTGCTAAACTATCACAATCAATACTCTTCATTTAAGGAGACTGAGGAGATCTTCTATGAGCTCTCATCAATGGTTGTTCACAGAGTTGAAAATAATAAAACTCATAGCTGATGGAATGCAGATATCGAGGAGATGAAGAAAGACAACATGTTTTACCATTTCAAATTTGATAAGCTGAAGGAAATAGACCCACCCTTCTTTGCTGAAGGCACAGAGACTCCACTATTATTAAGAGCTCTCAGGTATGGCATGTGCTTGAAGTTAGAAGAAATGATGGCTCAGTATAATGAAGTCAAGGCTATATTTAGCCAAGATGATGTGAATCAACAGCTTCAAGAAATTAATGAAGGACTAGATTTCGATTCTGATTTAAATGATCAAAAAGAAAATATTTCTCCAATGAAGGAAGAATCAAAGGAAATGGAAAAGATACAAAGAATGGAAAAGTTTGACTCATGTAGAACTAATCAGAAGGAAGATGATAATTATTCAAAGCAATTTGATAAGAAGTATCATCTTATAGATCAAAACAATCCTCACTTTAAGAAGATAAAGAAAACTCATTTGAATAAGATTAACTGCGAAGAAATCAAGAAGAAGGCTGCACGTGAACAAAAAATGCTAGTAGAATTCTATTCCTCCAACGAAGAAGAACTTGCTAGCAGAGATAAAGGATTAGACCAATTCTTTTTCCAAGCCCACCTCCACGAACTCCTAACGGAGAACCAAGAAATCTTCGAAAACCTCAGCAAATACATCATCTTCAGTGAAGAAAACAAACGCTTCTTCGATGTTGCTTTATAATCCCTATTCATATTTCAACAATGCATCACCTCAGAGGGGTTTTGGGGTTTTGGGGTTTTGGGGGTTTGGGG